CTGTGTTTTAAATCTGCTACTCCTTCTGATAAAGCTATGACCTCTGTTCTAGATTGCCCTATAGGAGTAAACATACTTTCCACTTTTACTTTGTCAATCCTCTTTAGTATCTTCTATACCTCAATTAGATTCCTCGCATTCCTCCAAATTCCAGAGAGTATAGGCTAAACTGTTCAATCTGTCTTCATAAGTCAAACCCCTCATCTCTGGAATCAATCTACTTAACCTGCATGCCATTCAACTACCTTTCTCTTCAAGTAAGGGGGCCAAAATTGTATGCGGTATAGTCTTACTATGATCTTGTACTGTTGCAGCAATACTTCTCTCGTTTTATTCTCTATTCCTTTAACTATAAATGCCAACTTCTATTTTATTGTTAAAAGCAAATCTACAGCATTTCATACTTGTGTGTCAATAATAAACCACCTTGTTAAAACTGAAGAAATAAAACATGATATATCAAGCCAGATTTCAGTCCGGGATTGAGCATGTTCAGTAATAACAACAGCTGGGATCATAACAAGGCCAAGCCACTGAATACACCTGATGAAGAAATAGATATCTAGAGATGAAAGTGGCAACAGGCACAGGACAGTGAGACAGCATGGCATTGAAATAGAGGATCAGCCATGATCACACTGAATGGTGCAGCACGTGTAATGGGCTGGAAGGCCCACTCTTGCCCCTTTTCTCTTTGTTTCTATGTTGCAATACATAACCCAGCATATTAGTTTAATTTAAACTGCAGGAGCAGAATACATTTCATACTAGCAAAGGATAATCTCAGTACTGATATCTATTCTTGACATAGTGAGCTATATAGAGAAAATTATGAAGTATTAGAAGCAAAATACTGGAACTATTTGATAAAGAACAGAATGTTACAATTGAAAAGGATTCAAATTTCCTCCAATAGATGAAAATGGGCCAAATGGCTTTCCTCATTTATAATCCTCCTGTGAACCATCTTCAAAAATATCTTCAAATATCTTCAAAACAGATTCAATAGCATAACTACCTGATTGCTTCAGTGTTAGCAGCTTCTTGCCTTTCTTGTTCCATTTCCTTTAACAAGCAAATTTGACTTTTGTCTGCAGGTTTAGATTTCTGGCTTTCCAATTTTGTTTTCTGTTTCTTCCACGGAATTCTAAGGAACCATAAAAATATTTATTCTCATGAGGCACTAACATTTTATAGTATAATCCAGCAATAATAGCATAGGTCAAATTTAAATCTCACTGCCACAACCACAATAAAAACAATCATGTATTTATAAAATACTGCATTAAGATTATAATAGTTTTATTTTAAATAATTAAATGATTTTATTTTTGTTCTTATATACACAGAAAACAAAATAACTTAAAAATGTTCAAACGGAGGATATATACACAGCTGTTAACAAATGACAATATACATAGTTTTTGTACATTGTTGCACAGATTACTTGCCGTTTAGAAGGTCCAAGAGGACAACTAGGATAGCCTGGAATCCAGGGAGGTCTGCTTTCTTTAGGAGGTCCCTGGTATCTCTTTAGTTCTGAACTTACTGTGGCTTTCTGAAAACAGGCTTGCATTTCAAGAGTATTCTGTCCTCTTTGCTGCTAAAATTAATTCAATAAATTGAAAGGAAATTAAACATAAACAGTAGTTGACTAAATTATTTCAGCTTTCAATATAATCAAGAGATTCAATAAAGTAGCATGGTCAGTGCTAAAAGAGCAATATAAGCCAGATGTTCAAGAGCCAGCAATACACCTGGCAATTTTTCACAGCAATCTCAGAAGTCCCAGATAATACTGCATGCATGTTGCATGTACTGGTTTGAAACCAATCCATGCTCATACAAGTTTAAAGCTGGCAATGCCGAGTTGTACTGCTGCCTCCATATTTACATTTAGTCAGACATGCACATAAGTCTGCTCACTTGCACCCAAATATTGGATTCAAATTTTAATGATAACAGCTGGTTCTTTGCAAACATTATAAACTTTAAAAATGAAGGTTGAGAATTTTTTTTCCACACGGACCACAGTTAAGTGACAGCAAAGTCAAAACCATGAGAGATCATCTGCCAGGTATCAATTCCATTGGATTCATTTCTAGCTGACTTGAAGCCTATTCAGAACTACACCAAACATGATGTATGAAAGGGCAGTGAAACAAAAAACAAATTTTAAATCATCTCTTAAGAAATATCTTCAAAATAGATTCAATGCTGCATCAAAAAGTCAACTTGAACATAGCTGTCCAATCTCCAAAAGCCTTCAAAAAGAAAAGGAGCTACATCAATGAATGTCTCAAACAATTTTTTTAAAAATTAGTGTCAAACCAGAAGGTTCATTAATCAGTCACCGCCACTAGAAATTTCACTAATTCACTCTATAATTTCTGAACAAAGTTATACATACGAATTTTTTAAAAATATTTTACGGAACGTGGGCATTACTGGCTAAGCTAACATTTATTGCCAATCTCGAATAGTCCTTGGGAAGGTGGTGGTCAGCTGTCTTCTTGAACCAATGAAATTCATATCAAGTGGATACACTTACAATGCTGCTCAGGAAGGAAGTCTCAGGATTTTAATCCAGTGACAATGAAGAAAGGACAATATAGTTACAAGTCAAGATGATGTGTGACTTTAATGCAACTCACAAAATTAATAAATGATAGCTAAAACAAACAGGATTATCAATTTGAAACCTTGGGCTGAATCTCAAGGTTTTTTGTTTGGCTAAGTGTGAGTTGTGTTGTGTTTCTTGAAGGCTTTTCACTACAAGACCTAGCGAGAATTCTCACCACAGCTTAGCAAACTTGCCTTATAAACTACATACTCCATCCCCATTGCACCCCACAATGCCAATTCTACCTCCATCTTACCATCTGCTATCCCTGGAACAATTCACCAGTTGATATCAGCATCTCTTGACTCACACCATCATTGAAAGGCTGCTGTGCAGCCAGACAAGCATTGGCAATCAGAGGTCACCCCTTAGTGACAATGTAATGGCATAGCAGCCACAAAGCCTGCTGCTCACCCTAGTTGCTGTTTAAGCACAAAGCAACACATTTTACATGTCTTCAGCTGCATCTTGTCTAAAGACCCTCTTCAAATCACTACTATTCTGTCCCTAGTATCCACTTATAATATCATACTATTATCTTTGAACACAACTTACATATGACCTGGTAGGCAGTAGCACTCCTTTCTTTGTTGCCTTTCTTTCCGTAACAGATTTTTTCAAGGCTCCAACACGTTGTAAAGCATCTAACCCAGCCCTCAGCACAGTACTCCTATCAGGAGTCGGAGGGCCTTCCTCTTGTTGTTGCTGCTCTTCTTGGATGGGCAGAGACTCTCTACCACATAGCTGGGGTCTGGGAGATTCAGCAACATGAATATTTTCATCTGTACAGAAAATATATTTTAAAAGCAACATTTTAATTGAAGTATACACTAATCAAAAAAAGCTTTATTTTTCTATCTTTAATAATTCCGTTCAAATTATTAATGCAAGATCATGCAAATCGTTTTTGCATAAAGCAATGAATTACTTTATTGTTTCCAAACCAAATTCTACATATAAAAGAATTTTATGTCATTATTCATGTATAAGCTTCTATCAGTTACATTCAGAAAAAGAGCACCCCCTTTTTTTTTAAAACAAACCATCTAAGTAAATAAGTTCTCACAATTAACTCAGATATTGTAGAATTTTACACAAGGATGTGCTTATCAGACCCATGGCAGTTGAAAATTAATGTTTACATGTCTAGTATGCTACAGTTAGCAAGAAAAATGGGAATAGGCAGATATCATGAATGTAACTGAAATAGCCAAAAGGTTGTTCAAGGAAACCCAAGTCTCAGTAAATGTGACCTTCATTGGGTCCAACTAACACAGAGCAAAAAAGTTTACAGATTATTGAACTATGACAAAATAGCTTAAAAGTTAAGGGGAATCATGATTAAAGCGGATAATGCTCTCATCTACACCTCGAGTGTTGTCTAATTTTGAACAAGATAGGATTCAGTACAATTATCAGCTATAAAGGCAGATGTAGAATAATTTACTTCTGGTAATGGCAAGTATAAGTTTTCACTTACATTTCATTCACAGATGTTATTTTATTAGAATGAATTGTTAACTTTGGTCACAAGCAATTAGTCACAGCAGAAACATCCATGTTAAGTTCTTCTTCTTTTCTTAATATTAGTAACTCCTCAGATTTAATAGGGTTTTTTTTTTTGAAAGAAATGGACTGACTTACCAATCTGTGCTGTCTTAAGAGGCGGCAATTGTTTCAGTGCATATGAAACATTGTCCTTTGTGATGGATGATTTTTGTAATCTTTCAGCAGAGCGGCTTCTGTGTCTACCTAGAGGTCCTTTTCTGCTTGGCGGTGAAACACTGCGGGCTCTCTGTAGCAATTGATTTGTTTTCTTTTGAGGAAATTGGCTCCCAAGCAGTGAATCCAGGTCCTGATAAATCCACAAAACAAACATCTTTGATCTCAAGTAATACTTAACATTCATGAGATTTTGTCCCCTTTTTCTTTTACATTTGAGGTGTTCCAAAACATAGTCCATCCCTAGTGGGCAGCTTAGATAGATGCAAATTTTGCTCTCCATGACCAGATTGTTAACAATAAGTTACAGTTATTCCTTACTTTAATTTTGTCTGAAACTGTAGGAAGCACAATATCTCTCCAAACTAGAGCTGTGCAAATCATTCTTAAGAGGAACTGGAGAGTAAGTAAATGTCCTACTAGTACATGAAGCAACTTATGAAAGTTCAAAATATTTTTGCTTATTGACTTTAATGTTTTATCAAGATTAATAACATCTTCAATTTTGAGTACCAGTTCCTTGTTTACCAGGCCCAAAAATGTTCTATATGTCTAATTTCCCAAGTGAGAAAACTTAACACAAACTGTCCCTACCACTATATATTTGTATTAATGTTATCTGTCCTTCATAAGCATCAAACAGCAAAATAGATCAGTCAAACATATTGTGTATAATTCTTACAACTTACAAAGCCTCCCCATAACTGTGTACATGCAAGTCACAGATTGGTAATAATGACATTTGGGTTCAGTCACAGCTTCTCTGCTTGAAGCATTTGTAAATCAGATTTACAACTACCACACAACAGTGTGGCAGCAAAACAAAATGGCATGTTTAGTGGCTTTACTGTCCAATCAGCAAGAATCAAACTGCCCAGACAAACGGTCAATTTCACACAATATCTTCTCAAACGGACCTTTTTCCTCCAAAAATTCAAAGCATTACTGTATATACTGGCAGGAGTTTTCCAGGTGAAGAACTTACTGACTGCGTGACACTGCCAGCGCACTTAAGTTTTCAGTTAAGCCTTTAGAATTGGCAAAAGCAGAAGATGGGACTTCGTAAAATTAGTCCAATGAAACAAATTCATAGACGTCAAAGAAAATAGAATAACTTGGCACATTAAGGTTTAATAGTCTTCCTATTGCAGCAGTAAGTTAAACTCCTTTACAGTGAATGAAAGGAGCCATTGGGTAGGAGGGAAAAATTGTAATGCACTGGATGTCTATTTTGGGTGTTTGCATGTTCACAAATACCATTAAAAAGGCACCCTTGTTACAAAGAAACTGAAATACAAATTTAAGGTTGTAACACTGCACCTTAATGTTTCTGAAATTTTTACTATGACTTACCTCAACTTGTTGCAGGATATTAATAATGGTTTCTGGTATAGAAGCATCCATGTCACTTTCCATTTTGGCCGAGCAAAGGGAAAGCTGTCGAATTAACTGACCCAGTTCCTTACAGTAAGTAGGAATCTGCTGTTCTGATTGTCCAGAAAGTTGACCAACAAACATTTGCAACGCACGAACAGCTCCTCTGTGCGCAGCTGCTAACCGAGACATGGCACGAGACTGAAATATATAAAAACTGCAATAATACCTGTTTCAGAAACAGATATGTTAAAATTGAAGTCAATCATATTAATTTAAGTACAATCATTTTTATTAACTCAAGCTTTTGGTAAGGTGCTAATGTAAACAATTTTTATACTAAACATTGCACAACTTTTTTATTCAGCACACCATTTTGCTACAGCACGGCTTCTCACAAGAATTGCTTTTGTACGTTTAGATTATTTCATTCGTGTGGTTAGTTGCTTCAAAGGCAAATTGAAAATGTCACAGTGAGGGTTACAGAGCATTTGGAACTCAAGCAAACAGGTCAAGCAACTAGGTAGCCCCTCAACCAGTGAAAAACTGCAAAACAAATACAGCAAGGGCAAGGATGAAGAACAAATTACAGTGCACAGTGTGAAATACAAAGAGTAATTAAGAGCAGGAAAGGAAGATTTCAATTAGAGAGAGAAAAACAGACAAGTTTTAATTTTTTTTCATATTTTCAAATCTCCAGTCTACACTCTATACTTGTAACAATTACACTTTTAGTGCCAGTGAAATTGATTGTCAATAATGACCACATGGGTTAAGATTATTCACAAAACGTTTGGCGTTACATTCAGTTCGGCAACTTTGTGTCATTGTTTGCATTTTGATGCAACACATAGAACATTACAGCGCAGTACAGGCCCTTCGGCCCTTGATGTTGCACCGACCTGTGAAACCAATCTGGAGCCCATCTAATCTAAACTATTCCATTATCATCCATATGTTCTTGCTCATTTCCAATTGTAATCACTCCACCAAGGACAGTCATGCCTTCAACTGTCCTCAGCTCCAAACTGTGCAACAGCGAGGACACACGAAATGTACTGATGGCCTACATGTGACTCTAAGCCCACAGTGAAGACATCAAAGAGATGGGCAATAAGTGCTGGCCTAGCCATTGATGCCCACATCTTATAAACAGATTTTAAGAAGGTCTTTGGGCCCAAACGCACCTTAAATATTTCAGCTTCCTGAAGGTAAGCCAGTTCCCGAATACAGGGAATTCAGTTCATGGTCAAACAACTTCAATGTGGCCGTCTCCATACTCTCTTTCCAAACAGCCACCTACTACGAGGCATTCAACAGGACATCAGATGGTTATTTGGATAGGGCTGCAGGGAAAAGGCAGGAGATTGGCACTAGGGAATAGAACTAGCAGAGACACAATGGGCTGAATGGCCTGCTTCTGCACCGTCACAATCCTGCGATTGTGTGATTTGTGTTTCCTCCTCAGATTCTGACAGGGTTTGCCTATTGGGATTGAATACCACTTTATACATTTCCTGTTAGACACGCTTCCATTGGATTAATGACGGACAGATTAACAAATGGCGGATCCAATAAGCAAGCACTTTCCTCTGACCAGTTGACACACCCTGGGCATTTATGGGACATTTCCTCTCACCTATCAGGACAATCAGATCAATCTGCCAATTCTCACCAAGGGAGCTTTCTCAGCAAGATGTTAAAGACTGAAATCATACCTTATCCTCTATTTAAAAACAAATGTAATCTGGAAAAGAATCAGTTTTCCTTTCTTGATCTGCAGGACTTATTGACACATTCCCTTAATTACAGGCTTCAGTAAATGCTGAAGAGCGCAAGGGTTTTGACATTATTACAAAAGATATGAACATGTTCAGCTTCTCATTGAATTCATTAGTGCAAGGGTCTTTAAACAGAGTCAGATAGCACGGGCATATGCGAAAGGCTGGCCCTAATGGTGTGGCATTTTGAGAGTTAAGACACGCTCCTCATTCATTTACAGTGAATGTTATTAATGGCCCCTGATTTAAATGATAAATGAGGGCAGTGTTGGTGTGAATGATAGTGACGTCACAGAGGCCGGTACTAATTCTTTGAACCCTGTCTGCCCTTCAAGCGTCCATTTTTGTTGTATTTTACAACTCGAGCTATTGTCCTGTGACAAGTGCAACAATTGGAGGTCTGGAGGCAGAGAGTGAGTGCAGAAACATAATAGCTTTTTAAAGAGCCCTTTGTTTGACCTGTGTTGGCCATTTTTCAATACTGTTAAAAATCAATTCTGCACACTGTCTTACTGCCCAGAGTTCCATGTATTACCTAGAACCCCATTCAACAGACAAAGTCAGCCATGATCCTGCAGCAAGGAGCACTATGGGGGACTAGTGGACGACCTCTCCCAGCTCTGAGCTCCACGGCTGATGTGTGATTCTGGCCCAGAGCCCAAAGCACCAGCCAGATACATGCCCAGCTGTCGTACAATTGGCATCTCAGTCACCGGGTCTTAACCGATAGGAATACAGGAGGCACGTTAGCACTAATTTATCTGGATCCTGCCACTGGGAACACAATTGTCAGATTATTCTGTGCCCAGTCCCCAAACAGTCTGGCAAAGTGCAAACTTTGCAGAATAAACCAGAAATGCAAACAACTGGAGTGGAGAACAATCTGAGCACTCCCACCAGCTCAGTCACTTCTCTCGGATTCACTTCAAAAACACACATTTGGAAGATCTCAGCAGATCTCCCAGAAACAGCTCAACAAACATCACTTTCCACAGATGGTGGTGAAGCACCATGAAACTGATGCTTATACATGGCAAGTGACAGGAGTAGGTTCTGTGTTTTGATGCTGTCAGGTTTAAGAAAGACTGTTGTCTTTTTTTGTTCCGAATGGTACCATCCCATCTTTAATCGACACCACTGCAACCAGCAAACAGGATCTGAGCACCATGACTGTGCAGCACTCCCTCTGCACTGCACTGTAGCCAAGTTGATGCACAGAAACTCCTCTTTGTGTGCAACTTTCTAACTCCAAGGCAACTGTGCCAAGCTGTCCTCAAACAGGTCAGTCTGTGGTTCAGCTGCTTCTTGTTGGAGCTCCTGTGGCAGGGTGTGTGTGTGTGTCTCAATTCACCCCTCCCTGAAAATGGCCAAGGGGCCCACAATGCCATGGTGTCGTTGTGATGTTACTGGGGGACCAGGCTAATACTGTGGGGAGAGATAGTAGGAACTGCAGATGCTGGAGAATCTGAGATAACAAGGTGTAGAGCTGGATGAACACCACAGGCCAAGCAGCACCAGAGGAGCAGGAAGGCCGACGCCCCGGGCCTAGACCCCTCCCCAGAAAAAAATTTTTTTCTGAAGAAGGCTCCAGGCCCGAAATGTCAGCACCCCCGCCCCTCCGACGCTGCCTGGCCCGCGGTGCCCATCCAGCTCTACACCCTGCCATCTCTAATACTGTGGGGAGACAGGTTCAAATCCAAACAGGACAGCATGTGGAATTTGAACACCAATGTTTCATTTGATCGTGTGTGTGGTATGATGTCTGATTCCAGCAAACGTGTGCTTGAATTGAGCGCTGCCGTTGTCGGCCAATAAGCTTCGCTACCTTGTGGCTTAAGGCAGTGATTGAAATGCAGTTGATGATTCAAACTGCTGCAGAATGAAGACATCCTGATCGGTGCCAGAATTCAGAGTGCAGCTCTGTACAGTTCGACACCTACAGTCACAGGGCACCAGGCCCGGAAGGATTGGGATCCCAGCAGGTTCCAGTTTAGGGAGGTTGCAAAGTTCTGTATCTGTGAAGCTAGTGATGGAGCAGCACAATCAGATCATCATTTTATGTTATTTGATTTTAACTACACATCTTCCTCACACACCCCCGCCCCCTACATTTGCAATACCATTTCCATGTATACAAACAATGAGCACCATTAACTGAACTAATTTTGACAGGAGAATCAGGAACAATGTGACCCACCTGTTGGGACTCAAGCAATAATTTAGTAAAGTCTACAAACATCGACTGGAATTCTAAAGAAATGCATAAAAACAAAGTACCAGAGCAAATTTTCTTTCACTCAACAGCAATGTTACTCATTACTAAAACAAAATAGTTTTGTCAACAAAATCCAAACAAACGATTTTCTTACCTTTTTGGTATGTTTTATTTTATGTGGACTTTGTTTTTCTATCTCTTCCTGTATTTTGTTTACCTTAATTAAATAATAAAAATTAAATGCAAGGTCAAGAGAAACAACTGCCCTGATCAAATGTAAAAATATTGTTCCATTAACAACACTTCTAAGTCACTTTAAAAAAATGCTAAAAAGACACATGTCTCTATCATGTGTAGGACACTACTCTTCCTTTAGTTTTCCCTGCCTAGTTGATGCTGTGTAACTATAAAGCTGAAAATAGAAATCTCAGTGAGCTTTTATCTCACTAAGGAAACTACAGGCAGATGTATATCAAACAACCTGCTCTGAAACTCAGTTCACATTTTGACAGCAATGATCAGTTCCAATACAGTAGCTGAGACAATCCACAAAATTCTAAAGCAAATCAACAATATTCTTAAAACACAATTCATCCTATCGCCCTCTATTTGCAAAAATACTGATCAGTTCTGTTTTGGCCCATACCCTGTGAAGCAGGTTTCTTTGAAATCGGTCAGTTTTTTTGAGATATATTGTTTACAGACAAACAGATTAGCAAAGAAAGGGTCAAAAACATTCCTGTAATAAAGCTTCAAAATCAAAATTACTGCATTCACAAGTTGGGATTCACAGTGGGGCCGCCTTTTCCTTGGTGAGCTAACACCATAATTTCTATACAAATGGATGGTTTATTTAAGTTTTAAAAAAATTCTTATTCTCTGAGAAACAGCCATGGTATACATTTGCCAGAATAACAATTATGGAAATTCCATTCTGTCTACTGAAGTTTCTGTAATCAACACATAAAATTGAACTAAAGATAAAGCTCAAAGTCTGTCATTACTAGTCATAAAAAAACATCAGAACGCTGGTTAAGATTTTAAGTTCAGCAGCCAATTCACTAACTGCAACAGTGCCACTGCAGATTATCCAAATAAGGAACATGTCTTAGAGTAATTTTGGCTCTTGCAAGTGGCAAATTTAATCTCTTTGCTGACCTCTCATTTTTCATATAAGTGTGTAAACTATTGTGTCCCCTGGATTTGATCTGTAATAGAAAAACTGATAATTAACAATACATTTGTTAACATTTAATCTCAGTTCTCACTTGCTGCTGTAAAACATACAGCATCCTTGCTGAGCGAGAGGCCTGCTCTTGTCTTTTTATCTGCATTCTCCGCTCTTCTTCAGGATCCAGGATATCTGTATATTTCTCTAACAGAAGAAAATACACTCATGTATGTACTACCAGGAAACTCCAAAAATAGTGAAATGATTGTATCATTTAAGAAATACGTTTCATTATTCAAGAGTTGCTATACTTTTGGAAAGAAAGATAGCAGGATCAATTTGTATATTGTAAACAATGCATATTGGCTAACTGCAAATTACGGGCTAAACTCTTATCAGCTATTCATTGTATTTTCACACATCCTTTCCATGGGATTTTGCACTGGAATTTCATAATTGGAAAGACATTTCTGTCTGTACAAGGAACCTAAGAACCATGTGAACATGAGAAGCTACTGTGCTTCTTAACCAGAATGAAGAATCACTAATGATCAGTACAAAGTCTGAATTGAGTATCAGTATGATTGAGATTATTTGTTCAATATAGAAAGGAACACAAAAGGAGAGGAAAATAGATGCAACTAAGACAGACAGACAGAAAAACTAGGCACAGAAAGGATGGATGGCAGGAATAAAAGAAAAGAGAGCTAATAGTGTTTTTTCAAAAATTATTTGAATTTTAACTCTCTAACAATGCTGAAAATTTGTTTACCAGCATTCATTAAAAATTTACTTACATTGAAATCTACAAACACTAAATATTTCTGACTTTTTTTCTGCTCATGGAACATAGTATCAGTGGCTGGCCAGCATTTATCGCCTATCACCATTCCCTGAACCGAGCGACTTGCTGGGCTCTTTCAGAGCCGTAGAGTCAGAGTTATACAGCACAGCAAGAGGCACAACAACGCCTCTTCTTCCTCAGGCAGCTCCAGAAATTTGGCATCAAACACCCATTGCATCCCGGCAACACACTCCTACAATCTCTTCTGTCAGGCAGAAGGTACAGAAACTTGAACACATTCACCAGCAGGTTCAAGAACAGCTTCTTCTCTGCTGTTATTAGACTGATGAATGGACTCTGAAACTTCAAATAATGCTGATCTTGCTAATGTTGACCTTGCCTAGAGCATTGCCCTGTGCAATCTAACTGGTATGCCTCTGTCTAGTTTTTTTTTTGCCCTATGATCTGTATGTCCTTGCTTATTATGATCTGCCTGTCCTGCTCGTAAACAAAGCTCTCACTAAACCATTCCTGTCCATGTACCTATCCAGATACCTTTTAAATGTTGTAATTGTACCTGCCTCCACCACCTCCTTGAGCAGCTCATTCCATACACACCAACCTCTGCATGAAAAAGTTGACCCTCCGATCCCTTTTAAATCTTTCCCCTTTCAACTTAAACCTACGGCCTCTAGTTTTCGACGCCCCCACCCTGGGTTCATGCAGGACAGAATTGGCAAGGACATTAGTTAACCAAATAGGTACTTGCAACAATCAACATGGTGGGGATTTTTTGGCAAAAAAGTTGTCTTTGGTTCCACTCTAATTATTCTTATTATTCATATTCTTTGAAGGAGGTATAGTAGTTATTTTTCTAATGTGCCTAAGGATGTTTCTGCAAATTTAGAAAAGGTATAATTGACAAAAATAATGGTTACACAAATTAATGAAGAAGGGTCACTGGACTCAAAGCTAACTTTTTCTTTCTACAGATGCTGCCACACCTGCTGAGTTTCTCCAACACTTTGTTTTTGTTTCAGATTTCCAGAATCCACAATTTTTTTTAATATTACTGTTACACAAATTAAGACTATTATGGCTCTACTAGGGAGAGACAAGCAGTTGCAAGGCTGTAAATGATTGTTGGAATTTCCAAGGTAAAGGAAATTGAGGTCTAAGGAAGCTAATGCGCATACACCTACCATTGAGAAAGATGACTTTTCACAACTCTTAAGACTGTGGTCTCAACAGAAATCCCTAATCAACAGCAATCTTATGTGACATAACTGAAACACCGCTGAACATCTTATTTATTTTGTTTCTTATAGAAGTTGAATTAATGCCTTAAATTGTGTGACAGCTGACAGCTAACAAAGTTAGACTTAGAAATCATGCATTTTTGTATATAGCACAAAAAAAATAGTCCTTTTCAAATTTTCAAGCCAAGAAATCTAGCCAGGGCATTCTAGCAAACAATAGATATGTGGGCCAATTTATTAAAGTTTGGGAGCCATGAGTAACCATCCCTTTGATCACAGTTTAGGTATATGAATAGGAAGGGTTTAGAGGGACATGGGCCAAATGCTGGCCATTGGGACTAGGTCAGATTGGGATGTCTGATTGGCGCAGATGAGTTAAACCAAAGGGTCTGTTTCCATGCTGTATGGCTCCATAAAATGCTTCTAAATAATTCCAAAAGGCTTGACTGGACTTGTAAAACGCACAGTGTTTGAAAACAAAAAATTCCTAGTTTGCAATAATGCCTTATGTCATGCTACATGATGTTGCATATGTATATGTATATCACAAATTACATAATACCACATTACTTATTTAAAATAAGATTTTGTACCTCTCTTAGACAGCTCCTCAATTTTTTGAAAGTACTTGCTGAGCTCTGTTCTCAGCCTACGGATCTCTTCAGCAGTTTTGTTGCCCTGGTTCTGGCGATTCAGATCTGGGCCTGGGTCATGTGTTGGTGGTGAATCTGTGCGGGCAGGCCTAGCTTGGCCTTGGTCAGAGGTGCAAATATAAACCCTGGTACCAGATTTTGTAATGCCTTCTTTCGAAGTTTGGCTCTTTTGCTGTTTCAGCTTTGTAAGTGTCTCCATTTTCAGCCGATTCCTGATGCATGCAGCATTTTCAACAGCTTTCCCCTTCACTCGATTAATATACTTTGATGTTTCTGCTTGATCTTGCTCAAGTTTGCTCAAGTAATCTTTCATTTGCTCTTCCAGATGCCGTTTTTTCAGATCACGCTTTGCCATCCGAACAGCCATATTCAGTCTCTCTTCAGACACAGAAGAAAATTGCACAGAATTGCGCATACTCTGGGCATCTTCCTGAACAGGCGGATCAGAAGGTTGACGTAACTTTTCAATTACAATTGGACGAGGTTCTGTGACTGTTGCAGCCAGGTTGGATACAGTACTTAGTGCATCTTTATTGAATTTTAACTAAAAAATAAGTTTAAGAAAACCTTTAGCAATTCAAGCATATCTTATGGTCCAGTCAGCATTTCAATTTAAATTATAAGGAAGGAAACATAAGCTAATGCCTTGTCCTTCTTCTCCTTCCAGCACTGGAAGGAGAAACTTGTTTCCACGTATTACGTTGTAAATAAGCAGGGCAATCAGAGTAATTCAGCATCCAATTCTTTCCTGCAACATGAGGGAACCATTCACCATCACCTTAATACATTAAGAGGTCTGTCACAAGACATGGAACTTTTACTGTGGAAAACAGTAATTAAAGTGATCATTACCAAGACAATCGACCATGATCTGTTTGAATGGCAGAGCAGGATCAAAGGGCTAAATGGCCTACTCCTAGTACTATATTTATGCTCCTGTGCTGTGGCCCACAATGTGTTATTCCATCAATGCATGGTACAACCTCTGGACACTTGATTTGTTAATATTTGATATATGTAACAATTTTTCTTCTTTGCACAAAGGGTGTAAATAAGCAACAATTAATTAGACTTATTTAAAAAGCCTTCACCATGGAAATAAACAGATGAAATAAATAACCCTATCGCAAACAGAAAATAATTTTGAAATACAAATTGTTCAAAATTTGCAGTTTCCTTTCAAAGGCAAATTTCACACAAATTTTATGCTTCATTAACATTCTTTAAATTATTATTGCAGCATTCTTTTTTAACTGGCAGCACTGTACATCATTAGGCATATAGTAAACCAGCGGTAACCAAAGGGATAACAAAGATATACCTGATTCTTATAAAATTGTGGTCCGCTCTGTTCACTCCTTCCAACATCTTGTCCAGGTGATGTGGAAGGCACCCAAGTCCCAAAGGACTGGGCTGAATTCAGGATCTGCGTTTGATGATGCTGAATCTTTGTGGCCATGGCCAAAGTGTTTGAACTAAAGTAGCCAAACTCTATATAAAAAATATACATGGAAGCGCTCAGATAATTCTTCACAACTTAATTTAAAACCAAAATAACACAATGATAAGGTAAAACTTCTTCTGAAGAAAGTAGTTAAAACAGAAAGAGGAAAAATGAGGACAACTTAAAAAATTCAACGGGGAAGAGGCAGCCTTATGAAATTACTTGAGATACCCGACGAGGCGAGAATTAATTAACATTTGGAGAAGGGGTAGGTCAATAAATGAAAGTCAGCACAAGTACGTAAGTAAATAGATAATGTTTGACTAAGCTGATTGAGTTCTTAGATGTACTTCGACAGCCCATCCCCTTGTTTAAGCGCATCCCGTACCTGGTGATGTGAAGTCAGTGAGCTGCTCAGGACACTGCGACCATGCATCTGAGGCCCAAGGCCAGGCTATCAGCCTGCCGGCGTCACAGGACCGAAGCGCCCGCTGTTGCCAGGCGCCCGGTTGCTAGTCACCGGGTTCCTGTAGTTAGCGTCACCCGGCTCGGCCTGAGTAGAGGCTACCGGGACTTGTCATAGTCTGTGCTCGCCGCTCGGTTTCAAAACTGCGCCGGCAGCCCGCCCCGTATTACGCATGCGCACCTTCAGTCCGGGGAAGAGGGGAGGAATCGTGAAGAGGGAAGGTCCGGGTGCCACGCATGCGCACCTCCTTAGCCCGGCAACTATTCCGAAGTTACGCATGCGCGCCACGCGGGCTCCCGTCCGGAGTGACGCACGCGCACCCCCTGGCCAACCGCGTGACTCCAACGGAAGAAAGGGCAGACTGAAGCGCGGAGAGGGGCTGACTTGTTGCTTCTCAAAAGTGAAGAGAGCTGGTCGTGCGCGTGCGATTACAAAGATGGATTTGTTGGAAGTGTCTGGATACGATGAGTTTATGAAGGCGGTAGACGCCAACAAGGAAAAGACAATCTTCGCGTATTTCACCGGGTCGAAGAATGCGCAGGGTGTGAGCTGGTGCCCGGACTGTGTGACGGGTGAGA